TTTGTCACATCAAAATCTCAAGAATTGTAAACAATGTTAACAAGTTTTCAGTGAGGAAAATATAGACAGTCACATGGTTTCGTAAGACAGGACCGGATTTCTGTGCTTAGGGTATCGGTAGTACTGGTTTCCCGGAGCTTTTTGGCATCACGGCGACCCGCACGTGGCATTTTGGGCGCAGATGAGAGATGAAGCTTTAAGCGCGTACGAACGAGAACGTGGTTAGCTTCGGCACCTTGGATTGACTGGCTATCGTGGACCCAGCTGCGAAACCGTGGGCCAACTGGAATGTACTCGATCTGACTGACGGTACGGCCGTCATTCGAACATAAGTTCAGTAGAGGTTTGTGATGACGCCGGAAATCTGTGTAGGTAAAAAACAGTCGGTTCTGTTTGGAAAATTGCAGCATTTTCTTACCATTGTCGGTTCGAGATCCAAGCCCAAAACGACCAAAAAGGTCGCTGTTGGGCGGGCAAGCGGGCCCAGTCTGGCCAGTCCAGTCCCCGGCAACAATTAACAGATCAGGGCGAAAGAGTCGGTCGGCTAGCTCCTGCAGCTGCGAGTAGACATTCTCTTTGTCTTGCTGTTCAGCCACTGATGTAGGTGCATACACAGAGATGACCGAGATGTTCGTAAAATGCCCTTTTATTCGAACGTAGGCCTTTCTGTCTTTGACTGGTTCCCATGACAGTAATGCACGGTTGGCTTGCTCCGAGAGGGCAATGACCACACCGTGTTTACCAGATGAGTCACGCGGACCACTGTGATACAGGGTGAGATGAGAATCGACTCCCGGGATTTAAATTTTTCGGGCGCCTGAATCAGGGAGTCGGACTTCGGACAGGCACCAAACATCCATGTGATATGTATGGAGACTGTGCGCTGTAAGACTTTGAGTACTAGGTTCCAGAATTGTTCGCACATTCCAGCATCCAGTTCCAAGAGTCTGCTTTTGGTTGAGCAGTCCAGATTGCACATTATTCGCCCGCATCACCAAACAAGGGTTGTGGAGCGCGTCGGTTTTCACGGACGCCGTAGCATGGATCGTAATACTGTGAGTTGTCATTTTTGCATGAGGAATATTGATGTTGTTTAATACAGGCGGGTCTCTAACAGCCACTCGGATTCTAAGTTCGAAGGTGTCTTCTCTAGCATTTTCGCTCAAGAACCTTACCACAAGGCAGTGATGTTGGTGGCAAGCGATCCTATTTAATGGCTGTTCACGCTTGCCATGTCACAGTGCCATCATTGGGACTTGCGGCATTTTATAAGGTAGTCGGTGCGCCAGACATCAGCCCACCGCGTCCTGGTACCACTGTCGCTGCTGCGTCTGAGACTGCTTATTTAACAGCTAACCTTCACCATGTAGGTGTTTATATCATTATGAAAATGCATTCTAGATGGGCAGATATTTTCTACTTAATGTATATCTTGCGAGTGTCCGACAAAAAAAATGTATTCAAGTGCCGTTATTCTAGCGTTTAAAAAATACTTTGTTATTATTAAGCAGCGTAATCAAAATGGCTGGGCCACCTAAGTAATTCCTTCAAATTAAAATTCCAGTTCTTTCGAATAAAACAAGTTTAAATATCTTAGGTTTAATAGTTTTCGTTTTATTGGCAAATCAAACGGTCAGTTACTTCCGGAACACCCAGTATCAATGCAAAACACCCGTTTTACAACAGTCAACAAGTGCACCTCTCCAATGTTACGGGGTTAAACACGTGCCTTGTACCGTTCCACCATTCTTTCGACCCTGTTGATCGCAATGACCTCCTCTGGTCTTACCTCCCTGTTGGTGGACCACGAAGCCAGTCGGGCGGTGTTTTACGTGGGGATCCGCTGAACACTGCCCCGTTTTAATGGTAGGTGTTTTCTCAGCTGCTTCCTCCTTAGTTCACCATGCGTTTCAGAGCGTGATGACTAGTATTTTTAAAATGACAAAATGTTCGTGAATATAAATTTATCTGCTTACCATACTAAACGCTCCCGCTGCCCATGTGGTTACTCACGGAGAGCAGCATTTATCAAATTCGTTTTTATTTTTCTACATAACTAAGTTTGCAATGACGAGGCTATCTGGACCCATCTGGACATATGTGGAAAACAATGTTATATAAACACGACCACGTCAGATACCAGAG